CCATGTTCAGACAACATACACCATGTTCAGACAACATACACCATGTTCGGACAACATACACCATGTTCAGACAACATACACCATGTTCAGACAACATACACCATGTTCAGACAACATACACCATGTTAAGACAACATACACCATGTTCGGACAACATACACCATGTTCAGACAACATACACCATGTTCAGACAACGTTCAGACAACATACTCCATTTTCAGACAACATACACCATGTTCAGACAACATACACCATGTTCAGGCAACATACACCATGTTCAGACAACATAAACCATGTTCAGACAACATACACCATGTTCAGACAATATAAACCATGTTCAGTCAACATACACCATGTTCAGACAACATTAACCATGTTCAGACAACATACACCATGTTCAGACAACCTAAACCATGTTCAGACAACATACACCATGTTCAGACAACAGATACCATGTTCACACAACATAAATCGTATTCAGGCAATATATACCATGTTCAGACAACATATTCATTGTTCAGACTACATACACCGTGTTCAGACAACATACACCATGTCAGGACAACATACACCATGTTCAGACACGGCACACCATGTTCACCCACGATAGCCGTGTTCAGACAACTAGCTCGTGTTCAGACAACATAAACCGTGTTCAGGCAACATACTCCGTGTCCAGACACCATACACCATGTTCAGACAACATATACCATGTTCAGACAACATTGTACACAGTTAGACACTATACACTTTCAGACACATTACACATTTACACATTCAGACACTGTACACATTTAGATATTATATACTTTCAGACACTGTAAACATTTAGACACTCTAAGCTTTCAGACACTGTGCACGATGTTAATATTTGCTGACATGTTATTTGTTAGGTACGTTTGACAGCACTACTTTGTGCTCATAATAAAGTAATGTTAGAGGTAAGAGAAAAAATCAAAGAAGGAAATGTTTAATATTTCTGTTACTATTTTACATATCAAACCATGGAAAACGTCGTAATTCTAATTTGGGCATTTACTCTAGTGTCGGTTTTACATGAGTGAGTTGGTGAGTGAGTTGGTGTGTGAGGCAGCGGTATTACGTGCCATTTTCAGCAATATTCACGACGAGCAATTGAATTCGGGTCTTCGGCATGAGGTACCAACCGTCTTAAATGAACTACCCGACAGCCCCTCGACTGAACACTCTCTCGTTGTCTCAAAAGAACACGTATGTTATATTAAGCACACAGACCACTAATACACACTTGTGGTCTTGGACCCACTTGCACAATGTGAAGTTTGCCAGTTTTCATCAACCACTTTTTATTGAACTGATTACATACATTAATCGAAACGTGGCAGACCGCCTCCGTGGTCTGGTGGTAGAGTGTGCGCCCAGAGAGCGGAAGGTTGGGGGTTCGATACCCAGTCGCGTCATACCAAAAGAGGTTAGAAGTTGGTACTTGTTATCTTGTCTGGCGCTCAGCATTAAGGGGCTAAAACAAGGACTGGTCGGCTCGGAGTTAGTATACTGTGTCTGAGTGGGGTGTTCATGTTAAACTGCGGCATGGCATCTCAGTGAGACACGTTCCGGTTATTTCTGTACTGTATCTGGAAAGTTTTGCGAGCAAAAAAGTACTGCGAAAACTGCGAGTGACACACACACTGGCAACCCTTTCTATAAACCTGTTCACGTCCAGACATCGACAAGTAGACATTAGATCCACCCCTTTCTATAAACCTGTTCACGTCCATACATCGACGTGTAGACATTAGATCCAACCCTTTCTATAAACCTGTTCACGTCCATACATCGACATGTGGACATTAGATCCACCCCTTTCTATAAACTTGTTCACGTCCATACATCGACGTGTAGACATTAGATCCATCCCTTTCTACAAACCTGTTCACGTCCATACATCGACATGTAGACATTAGATCCACCCCTTTCTATAAACTTGTTCACGTCCATACATCGACATGTAGACATTAGATCCACCCCTTTCTATAAACCTGTTCACGTCCATACATCGACATGTAGACATTAGATCCACCCCTTTCTATAAACCTGTTCACGTCCATACATCGACATGTAGACATTAGATCCACCCCTTTCTATAAACCTGTTCACGTCCATACATCGACATGTAGACATTAGATCCACCCCTTTCTATAAACCTGTTCACGTCCATACATCGACATGTAGACATTAGATCCACCCCTTTCTATAAACCTGTTCACGTCCATACATCGACATGTAGACATTAGATCCACCCCTTTCTATAAACCTGTTCACGTCCATACATCGACAAGTAGACATTAGATCCACCCCTTTCTATAAACCTGTTCACGTCCATACATCGACATGTAGACATTAGATCCACCCCTTTCTATAAACTTGTTCACGTCCATACATCGACATGTAGACATTAGATCCACCCCTTTCTATAAACCTGTTCACGTCCATACATCGACATGTAGACATTAGATCCACCCCTTTCTATAAACCTGTTCACGTCCATACATCGACATGTAGACATTAGATCCACCCCTTTCTATAAACCTGTTCACGTCCATACATCGACATGTAGACATTAGATCCACCCCTTTCTATAAACCTGTTCACGTCCATACATCGACAAGTAGACATTAGATCCACCCCTTTCTATAAACCTGTTCACGTCCATACATCGACATGTAGACATTAGATCCACCCCTTTCTATAAACTTGTTCACGTCCATACATCGACATGTAGACATTAGATCCACCCCTTTCTATAAACCTGTTCACGTCCATACATCGACGTGTAGACATTAGATCCACCCCTTTCTATAAACCTGTTCACGTCCATACATCGACATGTAGACATTAGATCCACCCCTTTCTATAAACCTGTTCACGTCCATACATCGACATGTAGACATTAGATCCACCCCTTTCTATAAACCTGTTCACGTCCATACATCGACAAGTAGACATTAGATCCACCCCTTTCTATAAACCTGTTCACGTCCATACATCGACATGTAGACATTAGATCCACCCCTTTCTATAAACTTGTTCACGTCCATACATCGACATGTAGACATTAGATCCACCCCTTTCTATAAACCTGTTCACGTCCATACATCGACATGTAGACATTAGATCCACCCCTTTCTATAAACCTGTTCACGTCCATACATCGACATGTAGACATTAGATCCACCCCTTTCTATAAACCTGTTCACGTCCATACATCGACATGTAGACATTAGATCCACCCCTTTCTATAAACCTCTTCACGTCCAAACATCAACAAGTGGACATTAGATCCACCCCTTTCTTTAAACCCGTTCACGTCTACACATCGACAAGTGGACATTAGATCCACCCATTCCTGTAAACCTGTCACGTCTACACATCGACAAGTGGACATTAGATCCACCCCTTTCTTTAAACCTGTTCACGTCCACACATCAACAAGTAGACATTAGATCCACCCATTCCTGTAAACCTGTCACGTCTACACATCGACAAGTGGACATCAGATCCACCCCTTTCTTTAAACCCGTTCACGTCTACACATCGGCAAGTGGACATCAGATCCACCCCTTTCTTTAAACCTGTCACGTCTACACATCGACACGCGGATTGTTGCGCCAGCCCTTTCTACTAACCTGTACCACTTTCTATAAACCTGTTCACGCCAATCCATCAACACGTGGCTATTAGTTCCGCACTTTTCTATAGTTGTTCACATCCATCCCTCGACACGCAGAGATAAGAACCACATGATATTCTGCCCTTTATGTATCCCAATGCACCAAGTTAACGCGACAAATTGTTAAGATAACAACCTGAATGATTTCACTATCTTCTTGTGAACCATGATATCAAGACTTTTTCTTTTGTTAGTTAATATTCGTATATTTCATGCAGCGCATTCAGGTTTATCTATCAAGGGCCCAACCATGTGATATTCTGGAGTGATGGTGGGTTGGGATTTGGGGGTGGGGGTGTGGAGGTGTGGGCGAGGTGGGCGGGGTGGGTGGGGGGTGGAGAGGTTGATTTTGTCTCGAGATTATATATCTTCTAAGCTACAGCTACAAAACTTTTTTTTCAAACTATGAGCTTGAATCATTATTTACGAAAACTACCTTGCAGTAATGTGATTTAGTAGGCAGTGTCTTTCTTTTTTAACAGTCTGACGCATAAAGATATTTTTAACAATTTTCGGGGACAGTTTATTTATTTTCGATAAAATCAAATAGTCGATCCCTAAGTTTTTTTTGGTCAATATTGCGAGGGATAATGGATTCAATTTGGAATCTTTTAAATGTAACCAGAGACGTTTATATAAATTGTCACATAATACATCGAAATGAATATACATGTATGCCTACATGCCCAATAATGCATTCGAGCCCTTTCAGGGTCCCGTTCGTCTTCGAAGTTTTTGCGAGTATACTCTTTCAAACTTATCTAAATTCCCCTCTATGGTGGAAGGTCCTTTCAGTTATAGATAGTGATGATGAAGACAGATTCATCAATTGATAGAGAAGGATGTCCTTGCTCACGTATCAGCAAACAAAACAAATCTATACGGTTTCGTTCATTAATGTTGTGTTATTGCTATATACACTCAAGGCAGATCATATAAGATTGGAAACGATTCTCTATAGAGATAAAGTATCAGTAAGTATCTAGCCTTATTTGAAATATCAATATTCTAGTAGCTTTAATATCAATACTATTAATCTCCGAGACTCTTTCAAGCGAATGTGGGTTAACCATACAACATCGTTATGCAATTGCAAACAGCTATTCAAGTGGTCTTTGGTAGGCTAGACATGTCTTTGTCGGAGATACATGCATGGAGAAGGTTTACGCCGTCTTTATTGCAAACATATGAATACTACCGAAATAACTAACAACTTCATTAAACAGAAAGAAGTTTCGTCCTAAGTAAATCTCCGAAAGAGTAGACATAAAATGCTTTTAAAGAAACTTACATAGATACTTCTCCGAGATGGTGCCCAGGCAATTGTTTTCTGGTCCGGTCGTCCAACCCAGGCTGCATTAAGTCCAATTAAACAAACCAGCACAAACAAACAAAGAAAATTGCACATGTTTGTGGAATGTCCCGCTCCTAACGCCCCGCTGTTTCAGTTCTGTGCCTCTGCCCTTCACTAACTGTAAGGCCTACTGTATCGATCGTAGGATGTATGTTTCATAGAACCAAGGCGTTATCCGCGAATCACACACTCCACACCCCAGTCTTATGTAGACTGACGCGACGGACCAGTTCATTTCTTGTCATCAACGAGTCCAAACTTGGGTACATCTGCCCACGTGCTTGTCATGCTCCCCGCGTGATATTTATTATATGTTTTCAAAGAATCTCTATTGGAATTTCTCCTTGTTAGGTTATTGATCAAATTAAAGATTTCTTTATAATGAACGCTGAGAAATGTTATTGAATAAACACAACATCGCTGCTTTACTGAAATAATTGATGTCTTCGAGAAAAGTATTTTGCAATTGTTATCAGTCACAAAATAGAAACATGAATTATTGATTGTAGTGCTTGTTATAGGAAAGTGTTTTTCTCTAGTTCATCGATGTATTGGCAACAAAGAAACCTGCGCAACCTCAACAGTTCATTATATAAGAGTCAGTGGGCAGAACGTAGTTGCAGCACACTGGAAACTAAACAAGTTTACGACAATTGTAGCCACAATAAGAAGGCTCGAATGGCTATTGAACATGCAGCCAGCATCCCCTTACTGGACAGATGAGGGATGCATGTCACAAATGTGCACCATATCTTCATTTTGGCCCCACGAGACCAACCGAGAACAAAATTAATATACATTCTGACTGAATACTTGAATCCCATGTTATTGATCAGGGAGATGATGGGGCAGTTTGATGTAAATTTTGGATGTGGTTGAGCTGTATTTTACACGCCATGAGTCAAGGCGTCTTAATGATAATTCGGTTGTCGTGATTGGAGGATCTTGTCCGTGTGCTGAACTCTGGGTAAAGGCACGACCCTGTGAGGAACACTGTACTTCAACATCACTGGCTATAGTTTTATGGTCTCCAGATTGGATACATCCCATTCTGGTTAGATGAGCTAGCATTACGATTCTGACTCACTGATAGAACCGTCACGATATACAAGCTTTTGTTTAACTGGCACTTGTAACATGAACCTCATAGCGATAGTGATCGTCATGATGTCACAATGCTGACGTCATATGATGTTTAGACATAAAAAAATCATACACCACCGCCTGACCACCCGATCCCGTTAGTCGCCTCGTACGACAACATAGTCGCCTTTTACGGCGAGCATGGGTTGCTGAAAACCTATTCTCTACCTGGATCTTCACGGGTCAGTTACTATTATACATGATAATATCAGTTAAAACACTTCGTCCTCCTAATAAAAATATTTGAGAGGCTGTGTCATTTACACTGCACAGATACCAGATACACTAGAATACACAAATTCTTAATCGATGACGATCTTTACGTTCTCCGGATATATCTATATAGAAAAAGTGGAGTAGTTGTAGCGTTTGAGGTTTTCGTAATTTCTATTCTTCTACGATAATAATCTTCGTTGAACAATGACAGTAATTGATCTACGTGCAATTAACATTTACTTGTTCCGAAAATATACGTAACGCGTGGGTATGACAATATATAGATATTGATAGGTTCCGTTATATGAACAGAACATGGCGATTAGAACGGGGTATCATTGATTGGACTTCATCCCTGGTTGATTGTAAACACACTCCATCCACAATCATGTAAGACGTAGATGCTTAGCTTAATGAACATATTTACGCAGCGACACCAAAGCAGGTAAACGGATCACGTCTAACGATCCCGTATCATTGATAATCACTGGTACTAATACAACCAAGCTTCAAGTTTCAAGCTGTCTCCCAGTTTTATCTCCGGATGTCACGACTATCATCTCGTTAAAACATGAGGCATGGGCTGTAATCTTTCATTAATTATTCTTGCATTAAAATTACCTGCGTGTTTAGTGAGTTAGTCTGTCAGTTGGTTTTAAAGCCGTTATGAACGGTGTTCCAATTATATCAAGATCCTGGGTAGAATAGGTCTTTAGCAACCCATGCTTGCCGTAATAGGCAACTAACGGGATCAAGTGGTCAGGCTCGCTGACTTGGTTGATGCATGTCATCGCATCCCGTGGATCGATGCTCATGATGTCAATCACTGGATTGTCTGGTCATCATATAGCTGGAATATTGCTGAGTGCGGCGTTAAACAACAAACAAAAAATATCAGGGCGTGTCAGTTTAATGTGGGAGGAAAGCCCGAAGTGATGCAGCTCCTAGACGTTTACCACTTCGGTGAAACCCACGAGCACGGGTATGGTGCTGACAAACCCAGAAACATAATCAGGGCGAACCGGGATTCGAACCTACAATCATTGGTTTCTGGCGTTCCCATGGGACACAACTCTGTACAGCGAATTGCGGCGCCTCAGACAACTGGGCCACCCGTTCCCCTTTGCTCTTTAGAATTGTTCAAAATAATAATCACATTACTAGTTATGGTTCAAATTATGTTTGTTGAGTTATCTTAATCTTTCCGAATTAGTGTATTATTTGTTGGTGTTATTTAATTTACGTCATATTTAATTCATTTGCGTGCGATAGATGGAGACGGAGGGAGCGGGGACTCCTAAAAGCTTTCGTCAACATGTCATCGTTTCCTTTCCGCCTACTCAGCATGTTTTAAATTAATAACTCCCTTTAATTCAAAGGTCAATGTTCGACGTCAACATACTTGTAAATGACGTAATCAAAGAGCGTTGCCTGACTTCACTTCAAGGTTTGACTACGGAGAGTCGATTTTTTGCGGAAGATAATTTACAAAATGAGCATCTCCTTTTTACGTCAGGATGCAAACGCTTTGCAGCAGTTACAATGACCATATCCTCCTTTCCATGTTTATCCTTGTTTCGTGTGTTTGCATCGCAGTGGGGTTCATCTTCCTATTGATCGGATATAACTGAGGAAGAGCAAGACATTTCAGTCTCGGCTTCAAACAAAGATGGCCGCCGTTTCTGCAGAGTCAGCTCGAGTTAAACTGCTGACAACAGAACCACTGTTCGTGCAAATTGTACGCTATTTTTGGTTACTACATAGTGGAGTCCAAGTTATTTGATCAACTCTGATTGCAATGGATATATTTTAAAGGGCTTCTATTGAGGTAGCAGAGTGTGTGTGTGTGCGCGCGCACACGTAATAGAACGAACAACGACTCACGCCCTCGGGGTACGATAGGGAGCTATGCCACAGGTCCAGACCACCCGATTCATTAAATCGGGAGTTCCCACGGGGGTAAATAGTTACAAGTCACTCACGTTTAAAGTTGTTGCAATCGATGTTAAAACGAATGCTTAAATGATCTGAATGTTACGTAAGGATATATGGATCAAGCTTGATAACGGCGTTAGAACCTACACCGAATCGTCGGTCCTGATTGTAATGAAGAAGTTTTCATCCATATATCTTATCCTCACTTAGTACTCCAACTGAATGCCCCTCAAAGAAGTGATATGAATGTTGAAAATTGTGACATCATGTAAGCTGTAAATATTTTATGGAAACTGTCAGCTATCATTATATAGTCGATGTATTCCACAAATGTCAGTAAGCTGTTTATGTCAATAGGCTCATTATTAATGTTCTGTTGAGTAATGGATATTTAATTACATGTATTATGCGTATAATAGTACAAAAGAAGACAGGAAATTGTAAAAATGTATAAATGCATCTAGGTCATTGACCTACGAACTATAATTGCTATATCCTGTCGACTAATTGTATAAGTTAATCGGCATGCAATGTACGTTCGTGGTAGCTTTGAATACCGAAAATACAGTTAAAGCAACTGTCATTTGAATATCGAAAATACAGTTAAAGCAACTGTCATTTAATGCTCGTTGATCACACGCACCTGCTTCGAGTCTTTACAGGCGAAAAACTACAACGGTTGTGAACACATTGAGTCACCTTCTGGTTTTATTGTGGAAAGTCTTTCATTCGCTTCTGAACCCTCTTCACAACTACATACGCATGGGATGCTTCACTACTCTCGTTCCCAGCTGGCGATATGACAAATACACATCGGTGGCCTCTAGCTTGCCTGTTTGGCATACTTCAGAATTGTGATATGTGCACAGCTAGACAACGTTGTCACTGTACCCTTTCGTGCTGATGAGTTCTTCCTGTTGTTATATAGCTATGGAAAATATAATTAAGTTCGGCCTCTCAGATAGTTGATCAATGAGTGATGGATATATACTACACAAAACTAAGTTAAAGAACACAGGATTGTTTCATATTACTATGGTTAATCTGCCATGGTATGACCGATAGACTGTAGCAGTATGAAAGAATCGGATGTTCTTTAACTTCTTTTCGGTAGTATATATGGCAAAACTAGAAGGAACGATCATGTAAGGTTTGTTAAGACTGAAACCCTGAGACTTTTTTAAAATTCATTTTTAAGTCATCTACAAAAATAAAATTCCATAATTTGTTTAAACTTCCAAGCAGGCACAATCTTTAATATCTACCTGTATATAATACAATGCCAAGTTGAGTCTGAGATTAATGTGTTCGTCAAAAGCAGCTATTTGTTCACGGGGACATGCAAAAGTTTCAAGTGGAAATGGATTTGGTAAATGTTTAACTCAAACAAAATTAAGGACGATATAAATTTCTTTTGTCATGTCCTTCTAATGACCAATTACGGAAGATAAGTTGGCATTATTTGAAAGCCGTTTGGCCGTCGCTTACGCAATCCAATCCATAATCAAATGAAAGGTAAAGTTCACATTAATTAAAGCAGATAGTGATTGTTTTCTGGATTGATTTTGTGGAAAAACCGAGTCACAAGCCACTTTTATAAGACATTTATTCTGGCGATCCAGTTAGATTTATCAAGGCCATCTAAACAGAAAACATAAGGTACTTCCTTTTTTCTGACAACGCTCTGACAAAGATGTTTAAGATCGTAAATAGCAAGATTACAGTCAATCCGAAATCTCCAGTAAATTGCTTTTGGGTTGATTTCCCACAAAAGAAAGGTTAAAAAGTTAGTTCGTCCTGAACCCGAAATAATCCCTCCTCAGACACGCTGCAACATAAAAAAATGTTCAAACAATTTCAATCAATAGCTAAAAACTCGTGTTGCATTGCGTGACGTCCATTTACAAAACTGG